CCACCATCATCATCAACGACACCCATCCCCACGTCATCACGCCACCACTCCAACGGACGACGACGACGCGTCAACGGACGACGACGACGACGGACGATGACAACATGCCAACAGACGACACGACACGTCAGCGGACGACGACGACGATGACGACGGACGACGACACGTCAGCGACGACGACAACGGCCACGCGTCGACGGATGACAACGGACGACGACGGCGACACGTCAACGGATGACACGACACGTCAGCGGACGACAACGACGACGGCCACGCGTCAACGGACGACAACGACGACACATCGACGGACGACGACGACGACGGACGACGACGGCGACACGTCAACGGACGACACGACACGTCAGCGGACGACGACGACCGACGACGACAACACGTCAGCGACGACGACGACGGCCACGCGTCAACAGACGACGACGGATGACGAGGACGAGGACACGTCAACAGACGACGACGACAGACGACGACGACGACACGTCAACGGACGACGAGGACGGCCACACGTCGACGGACGCCGAGGACGACGACCACGTCAACCGACGACGTCGACGAGCCCTCTCCCTTTTCCCTCCCCCCTCCCTTTTCACTCCCCCTTCCCTGTCCCTCCCCTCCCTCTTCCCCCTTCTTTATCCATCCCTTCCCTTTTCCCTCCCCCTTCCCTTTTCCATCCCCCTTCCCTTTTCCCTTGCCCATCCCCTCCCTCTCTAGTATAAACTGCATGTAATTAAATATATTTTGTATTATAATTGAAATACATCATTTTTTGTGTATTTCTATCAAATACACTTTGATTTTCCCTATTCAAGTCTAAATATTATAAGGAATTCTTAGGATTAAGTTGTGAAATATACATTTTAGGCCTTCCTGTGACATTCCTGTGCCATTCCTGTCCATTCCTGTGCCATTCCTGTCCATTCCTGTGGATTCCTGTGCCATTCCTGTGGATTCCTGTGCCATTCCTGTGGATTCCTGTGCCATTCCTGTGGATTCCTGTGCCATTCCTGCAGGAATCAGTGGGGCATGACGAAGTACTGGCATCATACAGTTCCCCGAGCAATTCCCAGCTCAAGGTTTTGGCAGAGGAATCTGACGAAAGGCGTCATAGTTATTTTTGTTTGCATTTTTCCTTTTTCATGTTGACATATTCTTGTAGTTCTTTTTTCTTATTTTAGATTGATTTTTGGACAGGCAGCACGCGAGAACGTGCAGTTGCCTTGTGATTCTTTATGTGTATTTAAGGTGACCTCCCACCTATCGAATGGAGCACTTTTCTTTCCCCCCCCCTTTTTTGTTCTCTCTCTCTTAAGTTGTCACGCATCAAGGCGCGGCATCCCTCAAGTAACAAGTTCAAACGCTCAAAGCATTTCAATACCCACGCCATCAAGTCAAGGTTTTAAGATTTAAAGTTGCTGAGTATTCTACGCTTGAGCACTTGCGCTCTATCTCCCTTGTTCCTTTACTGCTCTATTGTTTGTTCTGTTTTCTGTGGCAGACGACCAGTGACCCCATCCCGTCCTTGAACTTTCGTTCTTCCACAGTGGTGACCGAGACAGGGGTTCTGGTTTTCCGTTCTGTAACCTCAACTGTTGTCGAGAATTAGTTTGGTATGCTTTCACCTTTCCATTTGGGTTAATTATTAGGCTTCCAGCCGCATATATCCGCCTTTTTCACTTTGAGCACGACCAACGCCCCACCACCCTTTGCAAATTTCATCCACTCTCTACTAGGAGAAGCCCGACGTGGTTTATTCTTCGATTCGACTGCATATACGCTAAGTTTTCCTTCAGAAATTCGTTTTTTATTTTTAAAATTTCTCCCTACAATCTCTCATTATGGGTCCCGATCCTATTCTTCCCCTTACATCTGTTGACTCCATGAATTCGTCTTCTTCTGATACGAGCCTCAACGCCACCCTAGGCGTTCCCATGCCTACTCCCAGCACGCCTGGCGCTCCCAAATTCAGGGGAAAACATGTTTCTGATTTTTTAGACGTGCTTGAGCAACATGCCGATAGCGCTAGAGTTTCTCATTCCCTCCTTCCTGGTTACGTTCTCAGATATTGTTACTCGAAAGTTCGTTTGGTTATAGGAGCTTCTTCGCTTCTGTCTGGGGACGACTGGGTTAGAACAAGAGTGTACCTGACCGACCTTTATGGGTCGAATGACTCTGTCCCTCCTAATTCTCCTGATCGTTTACGCCACTGGTGTTCCAGTCATGGAGAATCTGGTAGTATTACATCTCGAAAGGATGTGGATAAGTACTACCGAGATTTTACTGCATTATCCTCTGATTTGACCCCCCATAAAATGCTCGATAATGACGTTTATCTTTGCTTTTATAGAGGTATCCCGATGTCTTTACGCGCAAAGATCAAGAAGCGCTTACCGGCCGCTAACCTCAAAACGTCTTTGCCGCCCACGACTGCAGTGCTACTCGGACTTTTGCGCGCAGAATTCGATGAAGAAGACTTGGATGCGAAAACCACCTCTGTTAACGTGAACCTGGATTCGGATTCCGACTCAAGTTCGAGCGACTCGGACGAGGACATTGATAAGGTAGTCCTATCGAAGAAAAAGAAGAAGAAGCCAGTGAAAAAGGTTACTTTTGAAAAGACGGTCCCAGCCGCGCCGATAGTTGAACCGGTCAACCTTACGTCGGTAGATCAACTGGCAAGACAGATGGAGGAGTTAAGGCTTGCTCACGCTGAGATTTTACGTTCTGTCAGCAAAACTTCGAATTCTAACCAAAATTCTACCCAGTCTAGCAGAGAAGCAAGGTGTTTCTTTTGTGACTCGACAGGCCACCGTCTCGGACTCCAGTATTGTCCGGAAGTTAAGGTGTGTATCAATGAAGGACTTGTGGCTTACACCCCTGTTGGTAGATTAGCTCGCATAGATGGGTCTGAACTCCCTCGAGCCTTTGGAAGTGATGGCGGAGTCGCCAAGGTCTTGCGAGAACAGCACGCCGCTTCGAGCCATTTAAAAGGTAAGGCCCGGGAGGTTTCAAGAGACCTACCTCCCCATATGGCCAACTATGCGGGTCTGTTATTTGACGGTGAAGAGGTTCTTTCTTTGGACGTGTACAATGCGTCGCCCTCCTCGGTTGTACCCGAATGGCGTGCTCCTCCTTCTTCAGCTCTAGCTGTCACTCGATCTCAAAAGGACAAGGAAACTCGCTTTGATCCTATCAAACGTCCAGAGAAGAAACAAACTGAAGCTAAGTCAATTCCAAATTCTACTAAACCGCCTATTCCTACGCTCAGTAACCTCAGACCAGCAATAGCCCCAGTTCAGTCAACTCCCCAGGCCTTCAACTTGAGGCCTCCCACAATTAATACAGAAGACGCTTTTAAAAACCATCGCACGGCACCTTCAAAAACTAAGGACGTCGAGATGAAAGATACAACAACCAAAGCTAAGTCAGCTCCAGCCTACCATTTTATGTCTGACATACAAGAGATGCACGACCTAGACAAGATCGTACGAGAAAAGGTCAACAAGACAATTGTTCAGCTCGAACTTGGAGAGCTCCTCGCAATTTCGGCATTCCTGCAAAAGTCAGTTAGCAATATGACGAAGACACGTCGAGAATATACATCCAAACCAGTTGTAGCAAACATTGTAGAGGTACTCGAAGAGACGGAATGGGTGGAAGAGGACGCTTCTACATCTGACTTGGCAGGAGGATATGAATCGGACGATGAGGAGTTTTATCGTTCTCTTCCTGCTGCAGAATCCTCTACTAATTCAGGTTTTATCGAGTCACGTGTAGGTCTTGAGTTCGACGAATCAACGGAAACCAAAGAAGACGTCTTGGTACGATACGCGTCAGCAGTCAAGATCCACCTGACTCCGCAGCCACTTTTTGCAATGGTCACCGGGCGCTTCAAAGGGAAATTTGCAGGAGTGGATGTCATTTTCATGATAGACACAGGTTCAGAGTTAAATTTAATGGCTAAGGAGTTTTACGATAGAACGAACCTCGCGATCGACATGGACGGAACACAGTGGTCTCTCAAAGGGATTAACAGGCGGCCTGTACCTCTCGGCGGTTGCGTTCGCGACGCAGAAATCAAGATCTCAGGGAGGCAATTCAATCATCACATTTTTGTTAGTAGGGAAGGGACGGGCAAGCAAGAGATTATCCTGGGCCAGCCTTGGCTTCAGTGGTATTCTGCTTCGATTCAGTACACGCGTCAAGGGGCAATGAACATGCGAGTTTGGCAAGACGGAGATGGGGACAAATTTGATTGTTGTAATCAAGGCCCGTCTATCTTTATTCCTCTCTGCATGCCTGGCAGTGTACTTTACACTCCTCCACATCATCCAGTTGGACTCCGGCAGACTCCAACTATAATACAACCAACTGTCTATATTTCTGGATGATAGATGGACTGCACTCATTTTAGACTGTCTCAAGGAAATGTTGTAAAAAATATTCTTATCAATGTTAATGGCATTGCCTAGGGCCTTACCCCGAAAGACTCCACCAGTCGAACGGGATGAGCCATATGCAGGAATCCCCCCCTTTGGTGGACTAGCCATAACCATATCTGCATTTTAGAAAGTTTAACGCCATATCATAGAAGACAGATAGATAAATCATACCTTCACCATGGTGCATGGATGCTGCTGGACTTTCATTGGCAGCAGAGTCTAAACGCTTTGTTGGCCGCCCCTGCGAGATAGCACTAAGGTCTAAATGTTTTACTTAGCACCAACATAGCATAATGATACATGGTATATAGATATCAATAAAAAAAATAAAGATAAGCATAGCCTATCCAGCCTTCTTGACAATCAGGATGGGTGGTGGGTTACATACCATCCTGACGTCGAGACAGGTTTTCACTGTCAGGAAAGGTGGTGGGGTATCCACCATCCTGACTGTGATGAGTGGGGATGAGACATGGTAAGTTGGACGCACCTGTTGTGTTGGTGACAGTGTTAGCAGGCACGTCACGCTGATGTGTGTTGGTGGGCGCATCGCGCTGACGTGCAGTGGTGGTGTTGGCGGGCGCATCACGCTGATGCGTGGTGGTGGTGTTGGTGGTCTCATCCGGCTGACGTGTGGGCGCATCACGCTGACATGTGGTGGTGGTGTTGGTGGGCGTGTCATGCTGACGCGTGGTGGTGGTGTTGGTGGTCTCATCCGGCTGACATGTGGTGGTGGTGGGCGCGTCACGCTGACGTGTGGTGGTGGTGTTGGTGGTCTCATCCGGCTGACGTGTGGTGGTGGGATCATGCTGACGTGTGGTGTTGGTGCTTGCGTTTCGCTGACGTGTGTCGGTTTTGGTGGTAGTGCTGGCATTGGCGCGTGGGGCACGCTGACGCGTGGCGATCGGGTTTGCGTCCTGCTCCTTGTTCACCTCGGCGTGGCCCTGCTGGTTGTCGTGTTCGTTGTCTTGTTCGTTGTGCTGGGTGTCTTCTTTGTTGTCCTGGTCGTCTTCATTGGGTCGTTCCTCGTTTTCGTTGTGTTTGTTCTGCTTGTCGGCTTCGGCGTCGTGTACATTCTCTTCGTCGCTGTTTGTTTCATCTTTCCCACCATGTGGATCAGCGGCTGGGCGGCGTCTCGTAGTGGTAGCAGGCTGAGCAGAGGCCGTGTCGTCAGGGGGCGTGGGTTGGCCAGAGGTGGGATCGGCACGTTGAAGGGAGCGGCGTGGGGGAGCGACACTGATGCCGCTGGCGGATAGCACGCGCTTGGCACTAGATAGAAAATAATCAATTAAAATAGAAAAAAGGAGAGGGGATGGGATACGTACAGCGTTTATTTTGACCTGGGCGGCGATTCGAGGGCGGCATCCTCTCGATTGCGGTCCTGGGCCGTTTTCCTGTGGTAGTTGTTAGTGGTGGCAAGCTGGGATGGAGATTGCGCCCGATCGGTGGCAATCGTCATCGATGATTGCCATCGATAACGGGGGTATGCACTTTTGAGCGGCTGCTCTCTGCCCCCGGCCTCGATTCCCCCCCTTTCCTCCCCTTCCTTTGGTCTTCGTAGCTTGGTCCTCGTGATCAGCCCATTGGTCGGCAGCGGTCTCTTCCTGGTCGTCGTCGTCGTCGTTTGCATGGCACCGGCTTCGTTTGACAGGTTGCTCGTCCGCGTTTGACGTTTGGCGCTTCCGTGACGTGGCCTTCTTCGCTTTCGGGGCCATACGTGGCACTGGAGTTGATTGAACGAGGTGGTGGTGGGAGGAAGGTGGTGCCGTGAGTGGTTTGAATGATGTGTGGAGGTGGTGGGAGTCAGAAAGACAAGTGTGTGAACGCTAAACAAACACGTTTGATCAGTGTGCGGAACGTGCCGAGAACGAGGGTATATTATGCATATAATTTCTATGTATACTATAGCCTTCGTGGTCCAGCTGGTTGAGCATTCATAAGTATTATTGTGACCATGCTCATGAGGTCAAGTGTTCAATTCTTGCTATTGCGCTTTTTTTTCTTATTATATAATAAGTTAAATAACAACAACTGTGATGCAATTCATGTCTAGCTGGACTCCATGTGGAGTCTGGTTAATTTATGAATCAACAGTTGTTCTGAGGTGGAGTCCACCCTGTCCAGATGGGTCCACCTGGAGAGCAGCTGGACTCCAGGTGGACTCCAGGGGTATTCTAGACTAATATTTGGCTGGTTACCACTAAAGAAAAAAGTGTGGATGGACTCCAGAAATCCATCTGGAGTCTGCCAGAGTCCATCTGGAGTCCAACCGGAATATGTGGAGGAGTGTAAAGTCCTCCAGAAAGGGGGATAGGGAACGTCATACGCGAAGTGTTTTCCAGATGTACAAGAACTTGAAAATAAAACGTAAAACATTATCTGAGAGAAATATACTCTATGCAACAACTTGGATTATTTTTGAACTGCATGATTCAGTATAATACGATTGTAATTGTCTGTCTGTATGTTGTATACAATGGTTGAAGTGAAATGGGACGGGTGTGTTGTAAGTGAAATGGTGATTAGAGATGGTGAGTACAGGTATGGGAGATAAATAGATCTAAAGAGGATTGTTAGACGGCGACAAAAACGATGCCGATGCATACGGGGGAGGACGTTGATGACCCTGAGGATGGAGGGTAGCAAGGATAACAAAGTGTGTGTGATCTGGCTCAGACTTTGCCAACGACAAGAACACCAGGTGACAACGACCAGCCAGCGAGAAAGTACCCACAACAACATCCTACGCGGAACCACACCCAAAGTGCCCAGCACTAGGCGGAGCATGCAGAAACCGATCCACATGTCAATCATACATCTTCATAGTCTCCTCCAACGCATCCATATCAAACGACATATCAATATCACCAAATGAAGAATCGTTAGGGTTGTCTTCTTAGACTCTTCTACCATCAGCGAAGTGTTACCCTCCTCTTCCTCTGGGCACGCACATTTCGCATTGGATTTTGAGGCTATCACTGCTTGACCCAACTTTGAGGATATACTTGAACAATTCGGAATCAGCTTTGAAGGTATCACGGACTTCGACTTCGACCCAGAAGAGTCATGTTGGACTTGAGCTTGAACCCCCAGACCATGAGACATAGACACACCAGGCGTAACACAGACATCCGAATTGTCCGCTGAGCTCGGGGACGACCGGTACCCACCACAACGTTCCGGTGAGTCCCCATTGGAAGAGAGGGACGAAGGCAGTGGTGGGTCATTCCTCGTAACAGGGCCAGTCGTAGCACCAACAACTGAGGTACCGTTGTTCTTCACACCACCAACACCAACACCATTCCTCGTACCCTGACTTCCCAACAAAAGCACACCCTGATTCCCATAACCTCTCTCTGCTCAATTCTTGAGTCTGTCCTTCTCTATCTTTGTGGTCACCTCCCTCTGTCACAGGTCTTCTCGCCGAGCGCTGCCACTGAATTTTCGCGAAGAATGCAGTGAGCGAGATGGGGTGTGGGGGTAAACCTAAAGGAAGTCAAGTGCTGAATTAACAAAATTCGGCTATCTTCGTTCCCTATCCCCTTGTGGGTGTTGATATATTGGGCCAAAGGTCGGGCCCGGCTTCAACAACTTTTTCAAAGAAATGACAGCTGACGTTCGAAAAATGGCAGAGTTCGGAATTCAAGACAAATACAGGTACAAAGCGATACTTCAACAATTTGAAGAGCTAGAACTGAACAACTCGAGGTAATTCCATGTTTCTTCCGACTAGTAAAAAAAAACGAAGCAGTAAGGAAATTAATCCAGAATGAAAGCCAGTCTTGAACGTACCTAACCCGTATTCACTGAAGCACGACACTGACATGGAAGTTTCCATTAAGAGTGCCCACTGCTGTGGATAAGAGGCAACTGGCAGGATAGACGACTTGGAAATAGATAGCAGGGGTGCCGGACTGCTTCATGGTGTACGTTCCAAAAGCGAAGAAGGTCGCAGTTCCCTGAGAAGGAATGGGGGTGACCGTATTGTTAGTGTTGATGTTCCTGATGGTGAAATTGGCAACGAGAGCTATCAAGAAGGTCTTAATCAAATTGGTTTGGCAACATCGGATGTGGAAGAGTAGAAACAGTCGATGATACATACACATTTTGCGGGATTCAAGTTACTAAGCTGGCAACAAGTCAGATCATGGTGATGCCAGTGAGATGAATGTATGAATTTGTGAACATACCAGAAGGAAAGCTTGAGTTGGTGGGGTGTGCGGTCGAGGCAAGCGACATTACGGTTCTTATACGCCGCAATTAGGCTAGTGTGGTCATTTGGTCAAATTTTGGGGTGCTGCTTCTCCCTTCCGAAAGTGCTTGCTCGGAATCATGGAAATCCGGCAAGTAGTGCACTCCATGGCTAAATGAAGGCGAGATTGTTCGAGCTCTTTACTCTCCCCCACCTATTCCTACCAGACTCCTACTGGATTCCCGGAATCCTACTGGACTGGACTAGGACTGGGACAAATTTCATGCTGGCTGATCACCATACAAATTTTGTACCCTAGTCCTAGTGGAGTCCTAGTAAACTCCTACTGGAATGATCCCAAATCACCAGGAATTGTGGAATTCTGCTGGATTTTTAAGGAATGAGTCCAGTAGGAGTCCAGTACAAGGAGTCCAGTAGGAATTTCCAGGGACAGGGAGCCCAGTAGGACCAGCAGTTTGTCACTGTTGTTGTTATTATATAATATAAAAAAAAGCGCAACCTGACAGAATTGAACTCTCAACCTTACAGATGGAGTGGCAAATAGTGCATACAAAGCACTCTACCACTTGCACTACGACAGCATTATGACAGGTAAGTATTATATACTCTATATACCAACGTACTGACCTCCTTCCTAGAAAGGATGTCGGCGAATTCCGCGAGTGGGAATTTTGCCCAAACCCAACAACACTCGACAACACCACCATCACCACCCTCTTGCTCACCCACCACGAACACGTCACCTCGTCACCACCATCGCCTCGTCAATAGCGACCACCACGACCACAACGGATGACGACAACACGCGACCACAACAACAACAATGGGCCATGACAGATGACAACAACAAACAACCACGGCACACAATGACGACCCCACCCACGGACACGACAACCACCCACGAACCACAAGCACCCACCGACACGACAAACAAGAAAGACGAGGGACAGCGACGACCCCCTCCCACCTGCCAACCGTAACACCCACCACCACAAACGACGCCCGCCGCCCACAAAAAACACCCAGCACACACAAACGACAACTGCCACCCACGAAAAACACCCAGCGCCCATAAACGACAGCCGCTGCCCATGCAAACGACAACCGCCGACCACGAAAAACGCCCAGCGCCCACAAATGACATCCGCTGCCCACAAAAAACACCCAGCACACCCAAATGATGACCGCCGCCCACGAAAAACACCCAGCGCCCACAAACGACATCCGCCGCCCATGCAAATGACGACCGCCGCCCTCAAAAAACACCCCGCCTATGTGTGCAAATGACACGGCGCCCACGAAACGACGACTCCCTCTCTCCCTCCCTCCCTCTCTCCCTCCCTCTCTCTCTCCCTCCATCCTTCTCTCTCTCCCTCCCTTCCTCCCTCTCTTCCTCCCTCCCTCCCTCTCTTCCTCTCTCCACCTCTCTCACCCCCTCCCCCCTCCATCATTTCACTTCGCTCACTTCCCCTCCTTCCATAGCTCTCTCCCTCCACCACTCCCTCCATCACTCCACCACTCCCTCCCTCTCCCTCATTACATTAGTAAAATATGTTTCTGTATTTAGTTGTCATTTCACAATACAACATTTGTTTAAATGTGAATTTTGAATAGAAATTTGAAGTTCTGACTTGGTAATACATTGAAGTTGATATTCCAGTGGGAATCCAGTAGGAATCCAATGTCTGGAGCATTTCATCTAATTTGTTTAAGTTCAGTTGGAGTCCAGTGGGAGTCCAGCAGGAGTCCAGCAGGAGTCCAGTAGGAAGGGAATGTGAAAATGCCTTTTTGGAAATTTTGTTGAAGTCCAGTAGGAATCCAGTAGGAATAGGTGGGGGAGTGATAAGTATTGGATTGTTCGATAACAAAACTTCATGTTCGTTGAAAAGATTTTGCTCAGTGCGACACGCTCCCAACGTTCATCCTGTCAAATCTCAGCTCCGGAGTTTGTTCCTGCCATCCAATGGTTACGGGACCGTAGCCTACCACAAAAAGCACATGAGCGAGCGATCCTTATCGTGAGCATCTTTGGATTTGAAGGGGCGGTGTGTTTTCGAAATGTCATCAACTTGCAACTTGATTCTCCAAGTAAACACTTGGCGCACTCCTGTGGCAAGGTTAGCTCAGTAGGTCGAGGGGTAACATGGAAAGCTGAGTAGGAAATAGAGTCCTAGGAATGGGGTTTCAGTACTACAGAGACGCCATGATTGTCAAAGGTCACGGTCAGCTGCCAGCCTGAGAAACCTGAACGACTGTTTTCAATAACTTACTCAAAGGGACTGGCTCAAGTCTAGATCATTTAGTTACATGATCAAATTCTTCTGAGCGTCAAGATAAACCAGATCATTCTCCTTGAAAGGCAAGGGGGTTACTTAATTTGGAAATGCCATATAGTTGGCAGTGGGTTTGTGATTTACGACGAGGGTGAAGTGAGTAGAGGGAGAGAGGCGCTGCTTGTTGAATGCCGCTGAGTATGCCTCAAGACAGTAAGGACAGGGGGAACTGATTGGTGTGAGCCTGAAAGTTGAGGAGGGGGTGGTGCCAGTGTAAATGCATTACTTACTTACCGAACATACATTCTCTCAAGCCAAACAAACCCAAGTGATCTTTGCACACAGAAGGATCTGCCATTTATTTGTGGAGACCTGATCTGGCAGATCAATTGAGTGAGTCTCGGCCAGGAGCGTTCTGCGTTAGTCAACTTGAACATGCAGGTCTCCCACCGTAACACGTCCCCATTGCTGAAGTGCTGAAGTACCGGACTTCCACAAACTTCTATCTTGACGCTGAGAGAATTTTGATTACACAACAATATACGATTTGGGCTTCTGACGGCTGACCTTTAACAAAAATGGCGTCCCCACTACTGGAACCCCGCAGTCTTCTTCTCAGCTTTGCGGCAATAAAGTTCAAGTTACCCCTCGACCCACTGAACTATCCCCTGGCGATAACTGCAGGGACTGCCCCTTGCAGTGTTCTTATGGCGAAGCATTGCAGTTGAAGATGTTCGAAGACATATCTCGCCAGTCCAAAGACGGGTCCCACGATAAGGATCGCTCACTCATGTGTTTTCTTTGTGGTAGGCCTACAGTTGGAAAGCAGGAAAAAACTCTGTAAGAGGGATTTGACAGGAAGAGTGGTGGCAGCATGTATACTACTAGCCGAAAATTGGACAAACGTGTTGTTATCAAACAATCTCTTGCCTTTGTTTAGCCATAGGTTCGAGTGTTCATTGTTGGGGTCGACGCTCAACCTTCAACCTTCAAGGCTGTGACACCAAGACAACCAAGGTCACACATTACATGTACAAACAAGTTTTCATGAGATTCGTTGTGCAATCTCACATGCAAACACTGTAATTGCCGCTGTTCCATGTAGGGACTGTCACGGATAGGCTAATCCTGGGTAAACCCGAAATCCACCCATATTTGGATACAATTGATGGATTCGGGTAACTACCTGGACTATACGCAGGTATCTGTGGGTAAATTATATATTTTTAGACCTCTTTGAGATATTTTGAGTGTACCTGCCCTGAATAGATAAGAGTGTGTTATCTGTGTCCTCAGCTCCCTTTGCCTCTTGCCTCCACAGCACTATGCCATCACAACGACTCCCTGTCCCTGCTGCTTGTGGAAGGGGTCCAAATCGTAACCTGCCATTCGCTCCCAGCTATCACACAAGCCCTTCACCATAAAAATTCAATTTCCCATCTGACGACGACACAAACAGCTTAGATAAGGATATTTCAGCTCCTCCAGTACTAGTATCACCAATAAAACGTTGCCAACGTGCTGCAGCACCTGGAATCAATAAACAGAGTGACTTGGAGGTCTGGGAGTTGTCAGATGAGGATATAATTGGTGAGTCCTTTGCATTTTAACTTCAAAAAAGATTGTAAATTCTTTTGTATAGCTGCTGCCAAGACAACATGGTGTTCTGATGCATATGACCATTATTCAGTCTCCCTCCAGCGTAATTTTGGATCCAAGAGAGAGCCTCTCTCTCTCTCTTATGTGTTTAGATGCAAGTCACGTCCGGATAAGCATCCTGTGGTTGTTCGGCCACATTCAAAGACTGCAGAAGGTACTAGTAACATGTTGAAAGGGATGAATGCATGTCTTCAGGCACAGGGGATCTCCAAGATGCAACCAAAGGACGATGCTCCTATACCATACTCTGTAGCAGGTCATCGAGCTCTACTTGCACAGTGCTGTGCTACCAGTGCATGTCCATTTAACATGGTCTCTGATCCTGACTATCTGAAGGAGGTCCAAATGCTTCGCCCTGGAACTGCAGCTCACAGTCCCAATACGATCAGCCGTGATCTCAATCAAATTTATCTTGACATGTCAATTCATGTCAAGAATTACTTTAAGGTACTGTTTTTCTTTCTTATCCAATAAATTCAAGTTGCTAATGAAAGGACAGTCACTAAACAGAGGTCTTTACCATCCCCCATGAGTTCCAGCAGATTCCAAGTGGAATGTCAGAATTCCATGGAATTCCGACGGAAACCAGTTGGCTGGAGCCTCAGCCATTCTGGTTTCTAATTCCATGGAAATTCCAATGGAATCCGACGGAATCCAGTGGAAATGGTTGGAATCCGGGAGCCTCCTGGAACAGTTTCCATTGGAATCCATTGGAATTCCAACCAGATTCCATGGAATTCCCATGGAAAGTACATTTAATATATTCCAGTCAAATTCCAACAGATTCCGAGACATTCCAATGAATTCCAATATTTGTTGTTGTTATTATAATATATATAAAAATAAGTGGATGCATGAGGATTGAACTCTGGCCTCGGGAAATATCACATGAATCTCTGAGCAGCAATATTTCCGCTACACCATATGGCTGTTAAAAGCCTGGCAACATTAATTCTATATAACCCATCCTCACGCCCACCTTCCTAAACGAGTCATGGTGTTTGCCGGCGTCACCATCAGCATCTCCGTTTTGCTGTCAACCACAACCACAACCACCACCACCATCACCGCGACCAGCGCGGTCACCTCCAATCACGCCCATGCCAACGGACAATGACGACAACGACAACGATGGACAACGACACGACAACGACAACGGACAACGACACGTCAGCGACGACGAGGATGGCCACACGTCAACGGACAACAACAGACGACGAGGACAACAACAACAACACGTCAATGGACAACAACAATGACACGTCAACGGACAACGACAACGGACAACGACAACGTCACGTCACGTCAATGCACGACAACAACAGACGACACGTCAGCGACGACGAGGACGGCCACACGTCAATGCATGACAACGGACAACAACGACGACGGACGACAACAACAACAACAATGGACAACAACGACAACAATGGATGACGACACAACAACAACAACAACGGACGACGACATGACGACGACAACGGACGACAACACGTCAGCGACGACGAGACGGCGACACGTCAACGAGGACAATGGCCACACGTCAACGGATGACGAGGACAATGGCCACACGTCAACGGACGACGAGGACGACAACAACCATGTCAACCGACGACGTCAACGAGCGCCCATGACGATGACGAGCCCCCTCCCTTTTCCCTCCCCCCTCCCTTTTCTCTCCCCCTTCCCTTTTCCATCCCCCTTCCCTTTTCCATCCCCCTTCCCTTTTCCATCCCCCTTCCCTTTTCCATCCCCCTTCCCTTTTCCATCCCCCTTCCCTTTTCCATCCCCCTTCCCTTTTCCATCCCCCTTCCCTTTTCCATCCCCCTTCCCTTTTCCATCCCCCTTCCCTTTTCCATCCCCCTTCCCTTTTCCATCCCCCTTCCCTTTTCCATCCCCCTTCCCTTTTCCATCCCCCTTCCCTTTTCCATCCCCCTTCCCTTTTCCATCCCCCTTCCCTTTTCCATCCCCCTTCCCTTTTCCATCCCCCTTCCCTTTT